GGGTTCAGTACCAGTGCATTTAAATCACAAGCTTCCAATTCTCCTTTGGCAGAGTTCCAAGCCCTGCCTTTGAGGACGAGGGGGAGGCAATCACAGTTATCACCTAAGTCACTGCCTTTTCTATTGATTTCCACATTATCACAGCACAAGAGCTCTGTGAGAGTTTGGGCTGAGGATAATCATTTCTGCTGTGGAAGTGGAGGCCTTGTGTGTTGTCAGCAGAGCAGGAAAACCTTGATCATGACAGAATTGTTCTTAGTGTTATTCTGGATTGATACTTCATTCCCCTTCCCCCGCCCCCTCCAGCTCCACCCCGCCCCATCCTTCCCATCCTTTCCAATGGCCTTAGGTATAGATGCAGTACCACCGTTTGAACTCAAGGCTATATACTTGCTATACTAATGTACTCTACCATTGAGCCACACTTCCAGTCTTTTTGCTCTGGTTATTTGTGAGACAGGGACTTGCTGACTTGAGACCTTGATCTTCCTATTTCTTCTTCTCACTGTAGCTGGGAATGACAGGCATGCACCATCACACCCAACTTTTTCTGTTGAGATGCAGTCTTGCCAACTTGTTTTGAACTAGGATCATCCTGATTTTCACCTCCTAAGTAGCTAAGTGTGAGTCATGAGTGTGTGGCCGGTGGTGGTCTTGTTTGAAAAAAAATATGTGAAGGTTTTTTGCCCTTTTTCTCATAGCTGACAAACTCCAATGATAACAAACAGAGCCGTTTTAAGTCTTCACGTGTCTCACGGTGAATTCAGACAGGTTTACTGAATCGAGGTGTGATGTTTGTGGAGTATGGCATCTTCGTGCCTGTCACTGCGTGGGAGTGGCCATCTAAACTTTGTTTGAGACTCAGATCTCTCATAGATTCCCAGAATCAGAATCCCAGAATTAGTCAAAGGATCCTAAGTATTCTTAAGAATTATCTTCAACTAGAAGCAATGTTTCTCTGGACTTTGAATTAAGGCATTGAGTAGGTGATATTAAAGAATAATGGGGGTGGGAGTAGATTTCTGGCCTGGGAGAGAGGGATATAGCCATGGGTGTAGTTATATAGAATGAGCCCATGGGAAGGATAGCATTTTACTAATGACTAGCATTTGTCAAGTAATTTGATACAATGGGCACGATAAGAGCCCTGCAATTAACATCAGTTAACTAGCTCTGGGTGCCTATCAGGTGCCAGGATTATGCTAATCATGTTAGAGTCATTAGCATTTCATCCTCACCCCAACCCTCTCATCTCTGTATGGCAGAGGAGTGCGAGCCTCATGTGGCAGGTGTTAAGACCATTCAGTTGGGAAGTATCACCCCACTTTGGGCTGGGGGAATACTGAGCTCTGGACACAGTCATCAGAGGGTGGACCAATGAGGTTGAAGCTGTGGTTGGTAAACACAGAATGAGGACCAGTGACTTCAGTGATTGGTTCAGAGAAGAGAGCTCCCTAAGAGGTACTTAAAAAATTTGGTAAAATGAGGGTGCTTTCTAAATCCCAGGGAGGAAATTCCCTCTCTTCTCAAAGAGGCAGGTACCAATTTTGTAGAGCACTATAATATTGAAAATTTTAATATGACTGTCACAAGAAAGGATTCGAAGATGACAAATTGGTAAGGCTGAGAATTTCTCTAAAATTACAAATAAAATTCCATATGATTTAGCAATTCTACTTCTAGCTACAATCCTTCCCCCTTGCCCAATACTGGAAATCAGAGATATTTGGGGGCAACTCAAGTGGCCAGGGACAAACAAATGAATAAAAATACCATGGGAGCTAGGTACTGGTTACTCACTCCTGTAATCTTAGCTATTCAGGAGGCTGAGATGTGAGGATCGTAGTTTGGCACCAGCCTGTACAGGCAAGTCTGTGAGACTCTTATCTCCTATTAACCACCAGAAAACTGGAAGTGGATCTGTGGCTCAAAGTTGTAGGGTGCTAGCCTTGAGCACAAAAGCCCAGAGAAGTGCCCAGGACCTGAATTCAAGTTCCACAACTGACCAAAAAACAAACAAACAAACAAGCAAACAAACAAAAAAACCCCAAAGAGGCTGGGAAGGTGGCTCAGTGGTAGAGTGCTTGCCTTGCATGCCTGAGGCCCTGGGTTCGATTCCCCAGCACCACATAAGCAATAAGAAAAAAGCTGGAAGTGGCACTGTAGCTCAAGTGGTAGAGTGCTAGCCTTGAGCTGAAGAGCTGAGGGACAGCACCCAGGCCCAGAGTTCAGGCCCCATGACCGGACCCCCCCAAAAAAACCCCCAAAAAACAAATGATGGGAATAGTACACAGCCTTAAAAAAGAAGGAAATTGTGATGCAGGTCACATGGATGAAACCTGAGGATGCCATGCTAAGTGCAATACAGCAGTAATAAAAGACAAATATTCTATGATTCCATTTAGATGGAATTCTTAGTCACATTCATAGAGAGAATATAGAATGTGATTGTCAAGGCTATAGGGAAGTGAGAAAGAGTTGTCTTTTAATGATACAGAGTACCAGTTTGCAAGATAGAAAGAGTTGTGGAGATAGCTACATAATGGTGTGAATGTATTTAACACGTTTAATGTCTTTAAAATGCTTAATCTATTCATGTATTTATTATATGTAAAATGGTTAAAAGGTGGAACTGGAGGTATGGCTCAAGTGGAAGAGCATCAGCCTTCAGTGAAAACAAATGGTAAATATTATGTTATGTATACTTTACCATAATCAAAGTAAAAATATTATAAAGTATTTTTAAAAACATTCTACTCACATTTCAGAAAATGGGAGTCAACAATAGGCAATGTATTCATTACTCATGTAACTGCAATCTCTCTGTGCAGTATTTTTACAATAAAAAACAACAAAAAAATAAACAAAAAAAGAAAATGGGTGTCAAAAAGTATGTCTTATATGGACACTATTTCCTTTATTATCTACTCTTTTTTTTTGCTTTTGTTGGTTGTGGGGCTTGAACTCTGGGCCTGAACACTGTCCCTCAGCAATTCAGCTCAAGGCTAGCGCTCTACCACTTAAGCCACTGCACCACTTCCGGTTTTCTGAGTGGTTTATTGGAGATAAGAATCTCATGACGGGCTGGGAAGTTGGCTCAGTGGTAGAGCGCTTGCCTTGCATGCCTGAGGCCCTGGGTTCGATTCTTCGGCCCACATAAGCAAAAAGAAAAAAGCCGGAAGTGGTGCTGTGGCTCAAGTGGTAGGGCACTAGCCTTGAGCTGAAGAGCTGAAGGACAGTGCTCAGGCCCAGAGTTCAGGTCCCACAACTGGACCAAAAAAAAAAAAAAAAGAATCTCATGGACTTTCCTTCCCGGGCTGGCTTTGAACCGTGAACCTCAGATCTCAGCCTCCTGAGTAGCTAGGATTACAGGCGTGAGCCACAGGCACCCAGCATATCTGTACTCTTACCACTGCAAATCAGACTGGCAAGATGAATTTCGGATAGCCAGATCTCCCCATGGTGCTCTCCTTCCCCAGTTACTAAGAGCATATTGCCTAGACAGCAGGTGTTCTGGCCTCCTGGTCACCAAGTGGCTAAGTTAGCCCTTGTAATAATAAGTCAGTTGAGATTTTAGTCAGATTAAGTCAGATTCCTGGGATCTTACCAATACCCCCCTCTTACAGGCAGAGGGACAAAACAGACCTTCAGTGACTGTCCCTGCCCCAGAGCCCAGTCTGAAATAAATGTACTCACCCAGGAGTCGTGCAGGGAGGGGAAGTAGGGAGAGAAACAGAAATTCACAAAGAGGGAGGAGCCAAGCTGGAGGCATGACTCAAAATTCTAGGGTGGGCTTCCAACAGAGGGAGAGGAGGGCCAAGAAGAGAGGGAGCAACTGAAGGAGAGGCTGTGGGAGAGGGAGAGGTGGAAAGGAGACTGTCCCCCATCCCTTGGGTGGATAGCTACTTCTACAGGGTGATAGCAGCTTAGCATTAAGCACCAATGCAGTGTGGACTTTAGAGGTGGGGCACCAGCATCCTCAAATAGTCTATTGAAAACAAAATAAACCATATGGAAGGAGAGGCAATGTACCATACTGTTAAAGAACACAGGGTGTGAAGCAAGACTGCCAGGTGTTAGGACCCAACTGTGCAGCTTCCAGTCTATGTGACTTGAACAGATTTCAGAGAGCACAATTTCTCTACCTGGCCAGCACAATACTCAGTAGTGCCTCGCACTACAATGATTCTACTAACTACCAAGTCAGTTATTTTATATATATATATATATATACACACACACACACACACACACATTTTATATATATATATATGTCTTTACCAGTAGGGAATTTAACTAACACCCACAAGGTCCAGAGCTAGTAAATGGTAGAGCTGGGTTCCCAGACTCAAAGCAGATGCTCTTAGCCATCAGCTAGGGTGCACAGCCTCATTCACACTTGGAGTTCTCATCCCTTTGACACTTCAATAGGGTCTCACATCTGAAAGTATAGGAACCTGCCAGTGAATGAGGAATAAGGCCAGCAGCCAGCCCTTTATAGAGGGAAATAGCACAAAGCAAATCCACTCCAAAATGCTTTACGGTAATGCATGGGAACACTGTGAGGTTGGCCCACAGAATAAAAGGGGGCTATCACTAGAAGTCTCTTGTGTGTGTGTGTGTGTGTGTGTGTGTGTGTGCGCGCACACGTGCGCACGCATGAAGGTGTGCTGGTAGAGAGGCCTGACCTCAAGACCTCACACTCTTTTTTGTTGTTGTTAGTGGACATGGGGCTTGAACTCAGGGTCTGGGCTCTGTCCCTGAGTTTTCTCCCTCAAAGTTAGTGCTACTTTGAGCTACAGCTCCACTTCTTCAGTAGTTTTGGTGGAGGGAAGAATCGCATAGACTTTCCTGCCTGGGCTGGCTTTGAACCGAGATCCTCAGACCTCAGCCTCCTGAGTAGCTAGGATTACCAGTGTGAGCCATCAGCACGGGCTACAAGTGTCCGCTTTAGGTCGAGGCAGGGCTGAGTGGACGGCAGCAGGCAGGCTGTGACTTACCGGCCGGGGGAGACTGTACTGGTACATCTCGGGCCGGTAGGTGGGCACCCACTGCACCCCGGCCCTGGGCCTTGTCATGGTCCCCGGCGCGCTGGTCACCACCTCGGAGTAGGGCAGGTGCTGGGCGGAGCCGTAGGCTTCCTGGTGGCGGGCCTGGCCCGCGTGGCCGGCCGAGGCCAGGCTGAAGGCCTCCTCCAGCAGCATATGCATCTGCTGCCGGACCTCGTCGATGGAGGGCTGCGAGCTCAGCGTGGAGGTCTCCGAGTGGCCCTTGGCCTGCCGCGAGCGGCCGTAGCCCCGGGGCTCGTGCACTCTGTCCACGTTGGTTTCTTCTATGATTTCCGGCTCGGTCTGTGGGACCAAACAAAGCGCAGTGATCTGTTAGTTAAATTCCCTCCCATCAGGTGGCCTGTGATGGACTCCAAAATACTCACGGGGATCACTGATAGGCTGGGGTCTGCGTCCTAGCATATACAAGAATTCACATACAAGAGAGGGCAGAGTAAACCTCAAGCTCTGCTTTCAGGCCCCAGACACCTGTGCTTGAATTAGCACTCCTGGGGATTCTGAAGCCTTCTCAAGGTTCAGATCCACTGTTCTAGAACATTCTCCTACCTTCCCCTGCAGACCCCTTCATTCAGGGAGCAACTGGAGTCCCTAGGTGGGTAGAGAGCTGGGCCAGGCAGGCTGCTTGGCCTGCCAGCCTATCTGCTCTGCCCACTGGTGAACGCTTGCCTAAGAAGCCTCTGCTCTGTGTTCTGAGCTTGCTCTGCCTCTGTGGTGGGGAATGCCTGCCTGTGGGTGTCCTTTCTGCCACACAGGCCATTCACAGAGATCAGGACCCAAGAATGTAAAAATCAGAAGACAAGGGGCCATCCAGGGAATGTGGCTGGCTGCCCTGCAGCAGGTGCCACTGAAGAGCCAGGTCTGAAAGGTGAGCCACAGAGCTAAAAGACACACATTCCAGCTAGGCACCTGTGGCTCACGCCTGTAATCCTAGCTACTCAGGAGGCGGAGATCTGAGGATCTCAAAGCCAGCCCAGGCAGGGAAGTCCATAAAATTCTTGTATCTAGTAAACTGCCAAAAAATCCAGAAGTGGTGCTGTGGTACAAATGGTAAAGCCCTAGGCTTGGAGCAAAAGCAGCTCAGGGACAGCTCCCAGACCTGAGTTCAAGCCCTAGGATCAGCAAAACAACAACAACAAAATCCATAAAAAACAAAAAATGACATTCTAACTAGGAAAGTTGCTTTAACTTCATGGTATTTCAATTTTGTCATCAGTAAAGCAAGGATTAATACTGCCTCAAAGGGTTTTATAAGGATTAAGTAAATATACATATAAAGATTTAGAGCAGTGGTTCAGGGGTTTAAAAAACACAACAACAGCAGTTACTGTCATCATCATAATCATTATTATTGTGTTTTCCTCATTTAAATGCACATATTGTCCTGTAATTACTATGCATAAAGTACTTAGATGTATAACAGCACAGCAAGAAAATGTCATCAGGGAACTCATTCATACAGAGAAGGTCTCTCATCCCTAAATATTACCCACAAAGGTCAGAACTGTGATATAGTCTGTATTTTTAAAAGGTATTTAATTTTCTTTAGTATTAACATATGCTTTTTAGAAAAGAAATGGAGAATACTGAAAGCAGGACAAGGAAATTAGACATTTCCTGTCATTTCATTCAGTCTTGAACTTGGCTTATATCGTTCAAGATCAACAGTAAGGTTCTCGATGAATCTTCAAGTCTAGATCTACCGTAAGCAATTTTAAAATTACTTTTATATTAACCCAAACAAGAATAGATCACTCAAGAGAACATAAAATTACTCTTGGGATGACGGGCAAGAACTGACGCCTATATCATGACTGGGTGTGTGTTCCCAAGTCCTGCAGAGATAGAGGTGGTGGTAGCACCTCGGGGCTCTTCTGCTGTTAAGGGCTCTTTAGGGAAAGCCTTGTGATCACACTCTTGGAAACGTGTGTTCTGAAGGCCAGCAAATTGGCCTGGTAAGATTTTTGCCTGGGAATATCCAGTTGGTAAATATATTCTCTGAAATCAAATTTCTTCATAATGCTGAAAATACTCTGAACTGAATGTCAGAGCCGGGGGGGAGGGTGTTAATTCAAGCCCCATGCGACAGATGAGGAAGTTGAGGCCAGAGAAGTCAAGTAACTTAGGCCAAATGTTCCAGAGGCAGGCCATGACAGAGCCTGGATCCTCTAGCTCCTGACCCTGCTCAATGCTGGCTGCTACCCACATGTCCTCCTGTATCCCAGACTCCTCATACATAAAGGATGCTTTAATGCTAAGCTATTCCCGGGGGTTGACAAGTGAGGGAGGGCTGAGCCCTGATTCTCCCACTCATAAACTGTCCAGTGCATTTTCAGCTACATTTATGGACCTATTAGCATGTGAATTTACAGTTGTGGCTCAGGCAGAGCAAAAGTGTACTTTTACAAGACAGTTCTCTATTCTCTCATCCCATCCCTGGCTGGGGCTATATAGTAAGTGGAGGGAGGGGCTTTGTGGGTTTGCTTGATGGGGAAATGGAGACATTTTCTCCAGATTTCTACTGCCATCAACCCCATGATACTCCAGCAGAAGTTAACCCTTGCTTGTCCCACAGCGTTTACATTTGCCATGGGAAGACTGTCTTTAACAAGAGAGTCCTGAGGTATGAGGTCCCAGCATAGCCTCTACATAACTGGTCAAGTGATGCCCACCATTCTCAGTTGGTTATTCAGCATCTCATATTTACATAGGGAAACAAGACTAGCTCTCAATGGGGTCTGGGAATGTTAACACATGCTTATTAGAAAAGTAATGGAGAATCCTGAAAGCAGGACAAACTAGACATTTCCTGTCATTTCATTCAGTCTTGAACTTGGCTTATATTGTTCAAGATCAAAAGTAAGATTCTCTACCAATCTTCAAGTCAAGTCTAGATCTACCATAAGCAATTCTAAAATTACTTTTATATTAGCCCAAACAAGAATAGGTCATGCAACAAAACATAAAATTACTTGGGATAATGGGCAAGAACTGAAGCCTATGTCATGCCTGAGTGCGTGTGCCCAAGTCCTATGGGGACAGGAGTGGTGGCCAAGGGCTTAACAGACTCTATTCTTCTTCTTCTTTTTTTTTTTTTTGCCAGTCCTGGGCCTGGACCTCAGGACGTAGGCACTGTCTATGAGCTTCTTTTGCTTAAGACTAACTGAGGGTTGGCTTAGGTACAATGTCTTGGGTCATATCTGGGTGGGGGTAAAGAATATACTTCTGGGGCTGGGAAGGTGGCTCAGTGGCAGAGCGCTTGCCTTGCATGCCTGAGGCCCTGGGTTCAATTCCTCAGCACCACATAAACAGAAAAAGCCGGAAGTGGTGCTGTGACTCAAGCGGTAGAGCGCTAGCCTTGAGCTGAAGAGTTGAGGAACAGTGCCTAGGCCCAGAGTTCAGGTCCACGACTGGCAAAAAAATAAAAATAAAAAAAGAATATACTTCTGAAGATGAATGAAAGAAGGGCTCAGAATGCAGTCATAAAATTTAATACATATCCTACAAAATTAAGAAAATTGAAGGGAGGAGAAGGGGAAGAGACTGGGGAGAATGATAAAAGGGGTGACATTAGTTACAGTGCATTGTATTCATAAACTGCTTTGTTGAATGGCAACTCCTTAAACACAACTACTTAAAGATAATAAATATTTTAAAGACGACTATATATACACACATATATATGTGTGTATGTGTATATATATATATTTGCTAATCCTGGGGCTTGAACTCCAGGCTTGGGAGTTATCCCTAAGTTTTTGCGCTCAATGCTAGCACTCTATCACTTGAGCCACAGCTCCATTTCCAGCTTTTTGTGGTTAATCGGAGATACCAGTCTCATAGAATGGCTTCCAATCACAATCCTCAGATCTCAGCCTCCTGGTTAGCTAGGATTATATGCACGAGCCATCAGTGCACAAAGTAGAATGTATATTTGAACCTCTTTAATTTGGAAGAACCCATACTTGGCACTTGAAAAGTGCCAGGGAATGTGTGTGTGTGTGTGTGTGTGTGTGTGTGTGTGTGTGTGACACTCTACTATTTCAATCATACATACTTCTGGTCCAGCACTTTTCTGGTTAATCAGAGATAAAATCTAGGAGATTTTCTGCCTGGGCTGGCTTCAACTCTTGATTCTCCAGGTCACAGACTCCTGAGTAGCTAGGATTATAGGCTTGAGCCATTGGCACCTGGCTTAATTTTAATGCCATTTTTATAAATTAGTCAAGATATACTTCAGTAAAAATTCTAAAAAAAAAACCACCAATTCAGGGCTTTTTCAGGTTAAAAAAAAATCCAGAGATAAGCAAAATGAAAAAATAAAAATAAAAAGCAAAATGATGGCTGGGAGCCAGTGGCTCACACCTGCAACCCTAGTTACTCTGGAGGCTGAGATCTGAGGATCGCGGTTCAAAGCCAGCCCAGGCAGGAAAGTCCATGAGATTTTTTTTTTTTTTTTGGTCTGATCTGGGCCCTGAACTCTGGGCCTGGGCGCTGTCCCTCAGCCCTTCAGCTCAAGGCTAGCACTCTACACTTCTGGCTTTTTTCCCCTGCTTATGTGGTGCTGGGGAATTGAACTCAGGGCCTCATGCATGCAAGGCAAGTGCTCTACCACTGAGCCACCTTCCCAGCCTGTCCATGAGATTCTTATCTCCAATAAACCACTAGAAAACCGGAAGTGGTGCTGTGGCTCAAGCGACAGAGCACTTGCCTTGAGCTGAAGAGCGCAGAGACAGCGCTCAAACCCAGAGTTCAAGTCCTATGACGACCAGAAAAAAAAAAAGCAAAAATCTTCTCCCATTCAGCTTCCAGAAATAACTACTGCTAATACTGAGACCTTCATGGATGTCCTTTTAGAAGTTTTTTTTTTTTTAGAGAATTGGAGTTTATTTTTTAATTTATTTTTTTCCCATTCACTGTTCTTAATTTATACTGGTTTCATCTTAATACTCTACTCGCCTAACTTACTTGGTTTCATTTTATTCCTTTCTTTAAAAAGCTGGATTCTCAAAGTATTCTTGGTTCTTTTTTATAAATTTTCTCTGAGAACAGCTTTAGCTGTATCCCAAAGGTCTTAAAATAAGACGTTCTCTCATTACTGTGTAGACAATTCATCATTTCAACCTCATTTTATTTCCTGTTTGATCTAAAGGTGAGGCACATGTTTCTTTGCACCTATGTGATCATGTTTGGTTTTGTTTTTCTTCTGCTATGATCATGGCTGGCAGGGCCCTGCAAGTATTACAGCTCTTTTGGCCCAGCAGTGGCCATACCTGCCTTCTGGC